AGATGATTGTATAAAGAATTTTACACGCGCGCGCGCGCATGTGTGCGTGCGTGCGTGCATGCGTGTGCGTGCGCGCGCGCACTTCTTGAAATATGTATCCTTTATCAAATATCTAAATTTACATTATTGTGGATATCGATTTAATATAAAATTGTCACAATTATATAAACAAGAACATAGCTTCTTTGGTAAATTAAAGATGCGTTTACTTGCTTATCTTTTTTAATTTCTATCAAAATATTTTTATTGCGTATAAAAATTACTGATCTTCAGAATTATGTTTTTCGTCATAAAATTTCTTTTTTCAATTCGACCACTACCGAAATAAAAGACCAATTTAAATATTAATAAATGATATACAAGATAAAGGATACAAAATACGAACTGCATTGCAAAGACACGTAGTATCATTTCTACGTGAAGATATGTTGTTATGCAAAGATGCATATTGCGATTGTTCGAGCATTACAGCGATATTTTTACTAAATGACACAGAGAGTAAGGTTTCATCTCACCTCTACGATAGAAACCCTTGGTGATGGTTCTCGCGTCGCAATTTTTTCCATTACGATCGGACTAGTGGAGCTTGTCGAGGAATACTCTTTATCTGTTTCGTTATCATTATCTGAAAATTCTTTCTCGTCTTCAACGGTCTTTTGTGCGTCCGCGTTTTCATGTAACTTGCATACTAAGCCACCCTTGTCGCTCTCTCGTTCGAATAAGTTACCATCAAGATGAACTAAAAACAAACGAGATCCTATATTAATACAAGTCTGTATACGTGTACAATTTTGCATACATGCGCGCGCACGCATGCATACACAGGATGTTCTTTTTTACTAGTATTTTTTTCAATTTATAGATTGTTCTTCAATAAAAATATCGAGAGAATCATTTATCATTTATTTATATCTTTTCCATTTTTATCATTGCATACTCTTCGTATATCTCAATTTAATATTAAAATTCTCATTTTCTTTTCTGTAATTTAAAACATTTAAATCTAAATATTTCCCTATTTTCAACAAAGAAAAATCCATTTCAAATTAGCTAGGGAAGTTGCACAGTGAGGAGACATTCTATATATAAGAGAATAATCTATATATATTACACATTTTTCTCGGATTACCTTGACAAAAGGCAGTACTGCAAAATGAACAATGTGCTGATGTTCGACGTCCGCATTTCGAACAAAAATGCCACGGACAACAGAATTTTGATTCTGCCAGTTCATCAAATATCACGCATGTTCTATGATATTTTTTATTACATGTTCTCTGTGAGCAAATAATAAACTTGTTGGAATATGTTATCTCTTGGCCGCACTGCCAACACATAAATTTTCTCCATCTAAAAACAACGAAATTCGTTACAAAATATATTAATTATATAAAAATTATTATATGATAAAAATGTAAATCGTGTAATGAAGTATATAAACCTTCTGTATCGTTTCGGCTTATCGATTTTTTTTAGTTGTACGACCGATTGTGATGTTGACAACTGTTTCTGTGCTTTTAGACCGATGAAACCGCTACAATTCGGTGCACCGCAAAGACATGCTTTCCGTGTTTCTCCATCTGATGCCAAATTGTAATTAAACGTCAGTTCTTCTCCGGATTCTATATCACGCAAAGCAAACAGGCCAATACGCGTATCTCCATTTACCGTCCATTTCTGCGTTTCGCAATTAGGTGCACATGAATGATCTGTAAATGGCAATAGAAATGTTTTTTTTTCGGATCACGGACTCGATATTGCAATATACTCACTCATAAATCGACTTAAATTTCCTTTCGGTTCTGCATCAATCGTTCTATTATTATCGATTGTCAAAAAATAGAAATTCTCATTCTTCAGTTCTTTCTTCCGATGTAATCTACGTTTGTATTCGGCATCGTCTATAATTTCTCCCACATACTCAATAACAAATTGTCCTGCTTTGATATCTTCCAAAGTTCTTAGGCCCCATCCACGACCTATGGTATGAAATGGCTCCATCGCCGGATACTGGCGCAATACAAACGACTGATTCATACATTTGGCTCCAGCTGGACAGATTCCAGGACTACATTCAACCATTAGTATACGATTCAGACAATCCGTACCAGGTGCGCAAGGTTTATCCCACTCAGGATCGCATTCGCACGCTACGATGCTCTCGACTTCGGTTGGTTTGACGTTACCCACCGGTTTATTCACCTGTCACATATCTATTTTCATTATGGTTCCTAGTTTCTCATTGCAATTT